AAACTTGAACTGTGCATTTAAGGTAAACCACCTGAATGCTTTTGCTCTGTTTATCTTGCTATGGTTTTTTGACAGTAGGTATGTTTCTCTAGACTTGTTTCATCCTGTGGAAATTTAAGGAGGAAGGGGAGGAATAGGGAATAAAGGCGAGATAGAGAAGGCTTCAGCTCTAGTGTAACACCTGGAGTAAAATCATTGTCAGACAAATTACTGTTTGGTTTTCCATCTGTAGAACAAGAACAATGTCTTTGAAAAACACAAAGGAACATCCTAACTGCTGATTCACAGTCATTAGGAGTTTTGTTGCTGTTGCATGAAAAGTGTCCACTGTCTCAATTTATTGAGAGAGTGAAATATTCTATGAAGTTCTCAACCATACTATGATACTGCCAAATTTATATTTTGTAAATGAAAATAAATTTAAATATTTTCTGGGCTACAGAGAGAGGTCGTACCATGCTGATAGTTGGGAGGACATGAGTTTTGGCATTTTATCAACTACCAATGCACTCAGTCTTCCCCTTGTCTCCTCCCAGTCTGCCTAGGAGGAAGGGATGGGGACCCTATGGGGCTGCCCAGATGTTGGTTGCCTGCTCTGGTTGGAGTGACTGGCTGATGAACTCAGGTGTAGGTGTGTTGAGGGGAAGGCAGGAATCAGACTCACACCTATTTTCCTTCTCTTTCTGTATCAGAAGGCATCAGTTCAGGACTCACAGAAAGCTGCCACACCTGTCATGCTCGTTTTTCTTCCCTTTGTGCATTTTCAGTCTCTGTAACCTACTGCTGGGAAACAGAATTTAATCAGTGGACACCTGCACTGCTAATAAACTCTGCCTTCTGCTCTCCATAGGGTCAGGAGACATGGGCATGGGGCCTCAGACAAGTATGGACATCTTCCACTTGATGTCATGTCTTTACTGACAGCAACAATTTCTTGCAATTAGGCTCCTGCAGCAGGTAGTTAACCTGACGGCAACAGCTGATTGTCTCTAACTTCACTGCTCAACTTGAGCTTCATGTTCAAACTCCAGTGTTTCACCATTGCTTCCTTTGCTCTCTGTTCTCTTGATGGAGGGGTATAAAGCAGAGACAACTGTTATTAGTAATCTAAATCAACCTTTGCTTTTCTATACCTCACCTTGAGCAAGAAGACTACAGTGAACAAAATGAGATCTGTAACACTCAATAAGGAAAGAGCAAAACCAGCCATAAAAGTCAACTTTTCTATAAAATTGTGATAGGAGAAAATGCAGTCTGTGAATGTTGCAGGTCACTGTTGAATCAAAAATGCCTGCTTACCTGGACTAAGGACTGAGAGTACAGCTGAAGGATCACTGCGAGAGTTTGTTTTGTTAGGGCCACTTGTACATCACAAGTGCTTCAGAAAGGTTCGTGGCCTGCCGAGTGTTTGCAGCAGCCTACCAGAGTAATGATAGGTATTGAAGCAGCAGTGGGAGATGCAGTATTAAAAAATACTGTTCAGTCCTTGACTTCGATGTGAACTTTGAAAATGTAATTAATAGTTCAAACAGGCTGAAATAAAAATACAGCATTTGCACAGTGGAATCCCAAACACTGCAATTTTCTTTGCGTTGGTTCAAGTCTAGTTTTAATAGATTGGTGGTAGCTGTTTCATTGCTCCTGCCTCTTAAGAATTTCCTTTGGTTTTTCCAAGCGTCAAGACACTTAGAAAATTTTACTTCCATTTATGCAGGTTACACCAATGTCTTTTTGTATATGATCTCTTAAGTATTCAAATTGTGCCAGTCTGTTTCTGTCTTGCTTTGTTAGGTATTTTTGTACAGTTGAAGTTAAGATACATATTAGCAGCTTTTCTTACACTAGCCAAGTGCAGGGTTAATAATTTTCAGGGATTTTCTTGTGTTATTTGGAAGCTATAATTCCAGAAATACAGAAATAGAGAAGTTTGTCTAGTTTCAAATATTCGCCACTACTAGAGGACTGTAGATCAATTATAAACATTTTTAGTTTTGTTTCTTTTGGGGGAAAATAAGTCATTAGGACATTATAAAAAACAGGTGGTGTCAGAGACAGTAGAGTCCAGGGATAGGTACTCCAGGCCTTTTGAGATTGTATACTTACAAAGCTAAAATGCAGAATTAAATGGACAAGGTAGTAGGACCACTGTCCTTTAAAAACAACAGTACAAAATCTCATCTTTGAAAATGAGTTTCAATGGCTTACGCTGCAGAGGAAATCAGTGAGATTCAGAGAGAATATAAAGATTTCCAGGTCATGCTTCTATTTATTGATTTAATTCCAGTTTGGTTTCTCCCTCTCTGAACCTAAAGTTTAAATAGTTTTTACTTACTTATTTATTCCCACTTTGCTCAAGAATCTAGAAGGCCATTAGATGTCATGTTTCTACACATGCAGTTAGAGACTCCTTAGGCTATGGGTATTTCCAAAACCTGCATCCCCTTCCTGCTTTCACTATGAACTATACAGCATCGTGATCTCATTTTTTCACTGGACTGAAAAATCTCACATTTTTAGGATTACTGACCTGAGAACAGATAGTTCTTGGGAGAATGTGGTATGTTCTGTGATTGTGTAGTGGGTTCTGGACTATGTTTGTGATCTGTGTTTTAGCTTCTCACTTTGTAACTCAAAGTCATCTGTGGTTAATAGGCTGGTTACTCTGTTGAAAACATTGTGCTGCAAAAACAAAGAAAGGCTTGAGGTTGTATCTTAGAGCATTTCCAGTAAAACCTTGAGTAGAATTAGAAACTGGTTGATACAAGGCAGCTTCCAAGACTTACAGTTTTGGGTAAGAAAGGAAAGGGCAAATGTGAACAAGATGAGAAAGCAAGCTAAAAACTGCAGGTAATATTCTATAGTCCAGGTTTTGGACATATGACTTGGTGGGATGGTGCTGAATCTGAGTTATTCCTTACCCACTGATCAAGTCAGCACATCTGACATCAATAAACCGAACACCCTCTAATTACCCATTCATTCCATAACATGACTGACTTAAAGAAAATAACTGTAATTTAAAAAAACCCCAACAGTATACCATTAACATGGAGGTTAGTTGCCATCTTCAGCTGCATCATTGTCTTGGCATGAAAAGTTTTTGCCATGTCTTGGCCACATTCTGGGTTGGGGTCTGGAGTTGATTACTTGGTGTAGTTGAGAGTTCAGAAGGACAAGCATCTGCATCTTGGAATGAGGCTTGTGCTTACCTTTACGGTTTTCAGAGTCTGAAAGATTTCACAGAACCATTCTTTTTGTTCACCCTATTTATCTATACAACTCACCTACAGAAATGTTCTTTTCACGGGTTTATATTAAAGGAATGATTATCACCTAATGCTAAGTATATATGTGTATATTTATGCATACAAAAGTTCTAGTTTCTAAATTATAATTTTTTTGACATACACAGTACTAAAGAATCTCATTTAAGAGGTGTTTTCTGGATGCTAAGGGATTGACATAACTTATATGGAATCCTAAACCAGTTGCTAGCTTTAGGCCTCTGGTCCTTTAATATCCATCCTATTTCAAAAGTGGCTGCACATGTGTGTGTGTGTATAAAGATTCAGAATAGTGTTCATTTCAGAAGTAGCTATTTTTCCCATTGCCAATCACTAGAGTTTTTTAGAACTAATAGAGGATATGCTGGTTGTTACAGTGTGTTTTCTGCTTACGCATTAGTAGATTGAAGTCAGTATGGCTGGTGCATGCTTTACTTTCAAGAATTACTAGAAGGCTTTTTCTCCACTTTAATTATCTTTCAAAGAACTGTAACAACTATTCAGGAGTCCTTGTGACTTTTTTTTTGTTCCCATGAAAATGTTCTGTTCCTTTCTTAGGTTGAAATCGTGAGAGAACATGACAAGTGGGCAGAACACTAAATTGTGCTCTAAATCCAGAAACTTTATGTGAAATTATGTATTTTCTAATTACCTTGCTTAAATATATATTGAGCAAAAAAGAAAACGAGCTACACAAGTTGAAGAAATGTCAGATAAACAAACTATGACATGTGTAGTATTATTACCATCTGACATATCTCAAACTGATTTTACTCATCCTTCATTCTTTATATCTGCATGTCTAGCGGTGCATGCATTTATATTTTATATAAAGGGCAGAGTCTGTAGTCAGAGCATTTCAGTTATGTTGTTAAAAATAAATTAAGGAACAGCAGGTGCAAGTGATTCCTACACATGAATATTCAAACTGTATCTCAGTCAGATACTGTAGAAAGAATAATAAAGAGAAATGAAACTTTGGTGGGGCCAAGGCATTGGTATGATCTGAAATAAAAGTTTTATTGGCACAAGGTTGAGATGACTCAGAAAACTTATTCAAGGAGTGGCATGATCTGCTCGTATGCTCCATTGCCAGAACATTCAAGAGTTTAAAAGATTGAGGGGGCAGTAGCACTGGGATGTTGGAAGTGTAACAGGCTCTTAATCTTGATTCTTACACACTTGTGCTTTAGCCTCTGAGCAGAATGGGTTTAGGGTCGGCAGGAGGGTGTAGGGGCTACATAGCTAAATGGAAAGCTAAGAGACTTGAGTTCGTTCCTTCTCTGGCAGCCATTTCCTATGTATTTGCATCACTTAGGGCTGGACTCACCAAGGTATTTAGGTGTTTTCAGGTAGACTATTGACTAGCTTTTTTGGGGGGAATGGGGGCAGGGATAAGAATGAAGAAAGTGCGACTTTCACACTACTTAACTGGTGGAATCATACTGCCATTGTTGGATTCAGTGGGGTTTCACAGGAATCAGGAGCATGACTACTGTTCAGGGCCCTGTGACAGGGGATTTTCAGGGAAAACTCAGGAGCCAGAATGCATTTGTGGATCTGACGTTCATTTCCCTATCACTTATACATCATAAAGACAAGAACATTCAGAACTGTGAAGTGCTTAGATACTCTGGCAATATGGAAGGGAGCATATTAATTGATGACTGGCTTCTCTTAATGTCAATTTTTTTTTTTTCTTTGCTTGCTTCACAGATCCCGTCCATGGACCACAAAATGTAGAAGTTGTTGATATTCGCTCCCGGCAGCTGACGTTGCAGTGGGAGCCCTTTGGTTATGCGGTGACCCGCTGTCACAGTTACAATCTCACAGTCCAGTACCAGTATGTGTTTAACCAGCAAAAATTTGAGGCAGAGGAACTCATCCAAACTTCTTCCCACTACACCTTGCGAGGCCTTCGGCCCTTCATGACCATCAGGCTGAGGTTAGCCCTCTCTAACCCGGAGGGCAAAATGGAAAGTGAGGAGTTGGTTGTGCAGACTGAGGAAGATGGTAAGTTATGTTGGGTTTGCTTGCTTGCTTGTTTTTTAGGGGAAGACTAATATTTTCAGGTTGTAAATAACAACATAACCCTCTGTCCCATGAAACTTATAAATGGCTTCTCTGGACAGTGTGTGTGTTATGCAAGTAAAATTTGTAGGTGTAAATAATTTCCATTTCACAGCCATGTTCTTGAAAGGGCAAGGATCCCTGAATTGCTTGGAAATGACAAACGCCAGTCTGAGCAGTTACCAAACAGCGGTAGGTTTAATTCTATAGAAGTCATGTTCTGAACTACCCAGGGCCCACAGAGCAGATTATCATATGGGCAAATGTAATCCTGGCATTTGTTGATTTTTCTTGTGCCTTCACATCATTGTCCCAAAACCAAGTATAATGTCTTCCTTTCCAGAGTGTAGCTTTTCTTAATACTGATCTTCTGGACATAGCATTTTACATACGTCTCAGAAGCTAAATTCATTTGGTGCTAACTCTTCCGTTCTTGGTAAAAAAGAACTGTTTTCCGGAAGTGGTGATGGAAAGCTTTAAAGTGTTATTATCCGATCTGAGCTATTTCAGACCAAGGACTCTCATAGACTACAAGACTCCATTCTGTCTAATGTGTTAAAAAAGAAGTGTTCTTCCTCTGCCAGAGCTGTAAGGAGTTGCTGTCCTAAGTTTCTCTCAGCTGAAAGTGGCTCTCGCAGTCCAGTATATCATATGGAGGGACATAAGAGGATGGCAGGTCTTTCAGAAAAATGAACGGGGTTTTTATCAGACAGGCTTGGGAGTGAATTTAGTTAGTTATCTTCCACAGCATTAAAATTTTGCTTGAGTAGGTGGATTTTTTAGCTGGCCTTGTAGCCATAATGAAATATAAATCTTACATTGTTACTTTACTAAGGAAACCAATCTTTCATATTGATATAGGTGTGCAGCCCAGTAGCATCTTTATGCCAAAGTGCAATGTGGCTGTTTAGGTGGACAGAGCTTTGCTGCTGTGTGGGTGGCAAAGGACAAATTAAATTCCCTGCTGCTGCTATGCTGTACTGGAATAAGGACATACTGAAATTAGCTTCATATTTTCATGGATTCTGATTTTATTTATCTCTTAGTGGCTAGATTAGGGTATTCTTATTTGAACCAAAGGTTGAGAATATGCCTTTAATATTGATAGTACCTTGGTAATGGTAGTGCCTTGAGGGTTTGTTTGGGTTTTTTAATATATATTTTTTTTTTTTTTTTATTTTCAGCTCTGAACTTCCTTTCTGGTGGCCTTTTGGTGTCTTCTGACGTGTGTGCAGCTGGACATGGTGGTAGCTTCTAACACATTTTTTTGGTGGTTTTTTTTTTTCCTGTAGTTCCTGGACCTGTTCCCTTGGAATCCATCCAGGGAGGACCTTTTGAAGAGAAGATCTATGTTCAGTGGAAGCCTCCAAATGAGACAAATGGCATCATTACACTCTATGAGGTGAGGAGAACAGATTGTTGTCAAGGAATACATGCCACAGGGCCCTTCTCATATGTGTTTAAGCCAATCCAGAGCTCTAAGACATTTCAGCAGGTGCTAAAAGAAGCCTGATTAAAATAGATAAGAATCTTCAAGATAATCTGCTTCTATCACTGAAAAAGTTTTCCAGTTCAAAAAAGAGAAAAGAATTCTTTACCAATATGTGTGGCAAAATGAGAGCCATACATTCTCCCATGTCTCGGGTGTTCAATTCCTGCCCTTTCTTCTTCTGCGGTATCTCCAAGGTCCATTTTATATCCTTTTTTTCCTTAGACTAAACTTCTGTTAGGTTTTATACCTAAATACTGCAACTAATTCCCCTCTGTCTTTCCAATAGTCATAACACTTCCTGGCAGTCTCAGCAGAATATAGTCATGAAGTCTTATCTTATAGTGTTCTTATTGAATCTTTCAATGATACATCTATCTAACCCAACCACTTTCCTTGCCACCAAACAAAATATGCAGCACGTTATAGGACAATCACTGAACATCCTATGCCGGACGAAAAAAAAAAAAAAATTTAGATGCGATTTTAAAGTGTATCAGAAGAGATGTTTTTTGTTAAGGTAAGAAAGAATTACTGTTGTCATGTGCTTCTGGTGAGACTGTGTCCATAATATCATGTGCACCCAAATATGCAGAAAAGGAATATGAAAGGAGGACTGCTTTAGAGGATCATGTGAAATGAGAGACAGTTCTACAAAAGAAGGTAAAGGCACTTTTATTAAATAGTGGAAAGTGGTGCACCAGTGCTGGCTGAGTGTGTTTCAGTTTATAGGTTCAGCATTTACCACAGTAAGGTTAGAAAAAGTGAAAAAAATTTTGCTTTTATGATGATGTAAAAATCCTCACTGTGGGTTTGTGCAGCATTTTCTGATACAGAGGGGCAAGAACCACTTTTTTGCTTTCTCTTTTATGCTGGGTGAATGTACACTTATTTTGGAAATGGCATGGGTGCAAGAAGCAACTCTGCCATCACCAGTGAGGTTCTACTCCTTTCCTCTTCCCATCCAGCTTCTTGGTTTGGAACAGCATGTCTTATATCACTCCTAGATCTCCTTGCTAACACTGGCTGTCACTGTGTGACAAGTTCATCAGCTGGAGATAAAAATACAGATGAGCAGTTAGTTACACATAACCTGGAGAGATGGCCAGAGCATTCTCAGGGTGATAGTCAGGCTGTTACGTCTGTATCACAAGCAAATATGAGCACCTGTTCCAAGTAACGGGTGATCCTGGTTTTGAAATTACTCAGTAAATAAAGTAGAGGTCTTTGCACAGAAACATCTCATCCTGCTACCTGCAACTGAAGTTTAATCTTCCTAAAAACACAGAGAAGCTTCCAGTATTGTCCAGGTAGTTGCATCTTTTTTATTGTTTGCTTAATCTTTAGCCTACTATAGATACTTAAACCTGCACCTTTGTCTCTACTGGTGTTAATTTAAGATTTCATGCCATGTGTCTAGGACCAAACTAATTCCTCAGTAGCAGTGACCTCCAAAGTGTTGTTTTAGACAGGGTTCAGCCACTTTTAGTATCATCACGGCCTTACACTGCTTTAACACAGTTCAGCTGACCTATTGGTTAAAGAGGAAAAAAAAAAACCCTAGTGGTTAGTCTCTGATTGGTTTTCAGTTCTTTCCCGTGGCTTACAGTACTGATCCAGCTAGAAGCAGAAGGCTTTAGTGACAACAGAAGAAAAAAGGTCTAACTATGAACTTGTGCAGCGCTACTTTAATGAGGTCTCTGTAGGGAGCATAGTTCCTGAAGCCCAGCACTGGCAGCGCTGCTCTGTCACCAGGAGAAGCTGGGAGGCTCAGTGGTGTGCTAGCAAATTTGCAGCTATCTAGAAACTCTGCAATTGTGTCTTTGTCATTAGGGAGAAACAAACCCAAGACCCTACCAACATTTATTAAGGAAAAATTCCCTGCAAAGTACAGATCAAGAAATATCACTTTATGAATTTGAGTTAGTGGTGTCAAGTTCTGCATGACACCTGGAAGCAGCTGGCTAGACTTACTCGTAGCTATTGTGCAAGCGATGGTGTCTCAAACTCCTTTGGGCACAAACCCTCCTAATAAAAACAAATAAAACCCCCTCCTCCTCCTAAGCAATATTTGCCTCCTTACCATCACCATCAAGATCTGTTTCATTGTATCTGGATACTGTATTTTCTCTCTATTTCTGTTTTAAAAAAAAGTGTTGTAAGCTTCTAAAATGCTTCCAAATGATCAAACTGTCTATTCTACCTACATCCCACTTGCTTTTCCTTGGGACAGATTTTTTTCTTGGATCCCTAATCATTCTTGCAGTTCCCTGCCAGGCAGACTTCCATATTGTACAAATTGCAGTTGCAGTCTGCATGTGCACTGCTTACATGCCACCTGGGCTGAAATTCAGCAGCGCAATCTTCTACAAGTCATTTGGCAGCCAGAATCACTAATTTCATAATGACTGAATACTTCTAAAGTGCCTCAACAAAATGGAACGATCTTAATGAACCTTTTTGACTTACACAATTCCCTTCTGATTGAGTTATCCTTCAAAATGCTATTGTAGTCTTTTAATAAAGGTGGCAATAGCCTTGCATTTAAAGCGGGTTTAAAAATGCCCTGTGTTCAGTTGGAGAATTAATTGTTTCATTGGGTACAGCCACAGCTGGATTTTTAAACAAAGGAACCTTATAGATCCCCAAGTCAGTATGTAATTGCAGTCTGTTTCTAGGGAGCAGAAACCTCTTGTTCAAGGAAACTTGGAAAGCTCTGGGAATTGCAAGCAGTTAATCAGTATGCTGAAAAGATTAGGATACAAGCCATGTAGAAAGCAAGTGATGGTACAGTTCATTCAGGGGGTGTTAGGGGAGCACAGCAAAGCAGTTAATAACACGAGTGTATGCTGAGTTAGTAGGTGTCAGTTGATCTGTCCAGTCAAGTAAGCCATTAGGGAGATGCACAGGCTGCTGTTGCAAGCAAGCTGTGCAACAGAGAAAAAGCTTAAGATCTCTAGTCAAGTCCTCAGGTAGCTTCAAGGTGTGTAGGTGCTTACATGAGGCAAGTAGATCAATCTGTGTATAGAAATACTGCTAAACAGCAATAATAGGTTTTGCTGGTACATTGGTTAGGGTAGAATGCTCTACAGAGATGTTTTTGCATGTGACATTCATGAAAGAGGTGTTATTACAGCTCACTACAAGAGACAGCTGTGAGTGGCAGAATCTAATAATATTGTAATAAGTCCTGTCCCCCCTTCAGTCTCCTGGCAGACTGAAAGCACCACAACTTGTTGAATTATTTTTTTTAGCAGTCCTGAAAAGCTGCTATGCTTTAATATCCCTAATAATCAAATGCTGCTTATTGTGCTTACACAGTGTGGGAGTTCAGCTTCAAAGCCTGTGTGTACAAAGACATGCAACAAAAGGGGGGGTTTTTTTTGGTATTTTCTTTTTTATCCTAAGTGTGTGTAAAGTCAAACCACCATTAAACAGCAGAAGGACCTATGCTGTCATTGGACTGCAGGAACAAGCAATCCAATTTAAGTTCATGGACCGGCTTTGGCACTTAAATTCCTCTGCTTTTGGATGACATGAGGTTGTCTCAAGCGTTTGTTCCATAATCCAAACTGAAGTGCTTCAGATACTTGTGTGGACCCAGATGTTTTGCACAAGCTTGCACCTTGAAAATGTAAATAAACAAAACTTATTTATATCTGCATTTCACTGTTTGGGCAGCTAGAAGCTTACAGGTGCACTCAGTAAGTGATGTTGGCTTTCGCCTTTGTAAATACGTTTTTCGTGTGTAATCTATTTCTCAGAACTGTCAGGTTTTAGACTATTTTGCCCTTAAAGGGGAACAAGGAGAAAAAGCCACCTAGCATTCCTGTCTAAAATACTTGTCACATTACTTGGGGGAAGGCATTGTTATAAGGTATTACGATCCTAGAAGCATTTAAAGGGTGGCTGCAGTATATTCAGCTCCTTGGCTGGAAAAATGACACTCAGATTATTGAAATCCTTTCAATGAGCCATGCCTAAAGGCAGTGTTTAAACAGCAAGCTGTCTATTTAAACATCCTAAGGTGTAGTCTTGTAATCAGTTATGTTCTCATCTTTATGATTATTAAGTCCCATGTGGGTTGCACATGGGTCTTGGGAAAAATAAGGATGCATTTGCAGCTTCTAACTAGCTTGTTTTCTTAGTCACTGTTTCTGAAATGCTGTAAATCTCTATTTAGATGCCAGGAATAATAATATAAGGGATGTTCATACACAATTTCAGCTCTTTAATGGGATGCTTAGAGCCTAGTTCCACTAATCCCAGTGGATTTGAGTTTAAATTGCACTTCAGAGGTTACAGATCCTCTTAGTTGCCATGTAAAATTGCAGCATGCCCTTCATCATCTCTCCAGTTGCCAATATGCCATTTCTTCTCGATCACATCACTCACTTTTTCTCTGCAGGAGAGGTCATTACATGGAAACCATCTCTTAGAGGGTCATGCATAAGGTCAATATTTGGGGGATGTGCTGCCTGCATTTACAATAGGGTGGAAACAAATTTCTTCCACCTTTGACCCCTGAAAGTGCATACTAGCTGTAACACAAAGCATGATTATCTGGTGTGATAGCTATCCACTGCATGGATATGCATGCATTTCTATTCATAGCCCTTTTTTAAGCTCTTCATGAAACCTGACATTTTTAGAATAAAATCTTCCCTGCTAAAAGGTGTAGCAAAAAAAGATTTCCTGGAAAAGCTGAAAGTGTTGGGAACTCAACTTGGCTTAGTCATTTGTTTGTTTATTTAAAGGCTTTTTTTGGTTAAGAGGAGTGAAAAATGGCTCCCACAAGAAGGAAAGCAACAACCACGAAATCTTGCAACCAATTTATATAAAGCTCTACAGTCGAAATAGTAGAAAGATGACAATTCTCGGAAATTGCCTTCGGTGAGAAGTGGCTTTGAATG